CTATATGTGGTGCGCTGTACATACATAACAAATGTTAGTGCATTAATGCAGATTTTATCAGTTGTATGAATATATGCAGTACAAATTTTCATACAAATGGAAAGTTGTAGAACTATGCTAAACACAAGTGTAACATTTTGAGTTCATTTAGTATTTGTCATTGGTAAATTGGCTACTGTCAAATCTGTGTATAAGCTAAGCATTCTAATGTAAGGTTGAAGCTGACAGTTCTAATTATTGAACCTGTTGGAATATTTATGTGCGACCTTTTGTAAATGATATTGGTTAGAGAGTTTATTTGGATAACATGCATCCATGATGTATGCATGTCTGTTTATCAATCTTCAGTATGTTTTTTTGTCTGTTTTCTTGTGTCCGTCTATCTAAATGTCCTGTGACTGTATCTTTTTTGTCTGTCTAGCTGTCTTCCTGCATCTTTCTGTCTGTCTAGCTGTGCGTGCCCTGAAAAATGTGTCATTCTTTCCTTCTCTGTGTCTTCTAGTATTTTCCTGTCTGTCTAGCTGTCTTTCTGTCTGTCTAGCTACACCGTGTCTTCCTGTTCCTCTTGGTGACCTCTTGTATCTTTTTCTCTAACTGTCCTGTGACTGTGTTGCTGTAGCTGAGCTGTCTTTCTTTGTCTCTCTGTCTGACTAGCTGAGCTGTCTTTCCTTGTCTCTCTGACTAGCTGAGCAGTCTTTCTTTGTCTCTCTGACTAGCTGGCTGTCTTTCTTTGTCTCTCTGTCTGACTAGCTGAGCTGTCTTTCTTTGTCTCTCTGTCTGACTAGCTGGCTGTCTTTCTATGTGTGTCTGTCTGACTAGATGAGCTGTCTTTCTTTGTCTCTCTGTCTGACTAGCTGGCTGTCTTTCTGTCCCTCTTGTTATCTTTTTATACCTTTCTGTATGGCAGTCTTCCTACATCTTTCTGCTTGTGTAGCTGTCATGTGTCTTTCTGTTATTCAGGATGTTCTTTTGTATCTCTCTGTCTGTGGAGCTGTCTTCTGAATGTGTCTTTCTGTCTGTGAAGCTGTCCTCTGAATGTGTCTTTCTGTCTGTGAAGCTGTCTTCCTGCATCTCTCTGCCTCTCTAGCTGCCCTGTGTCCTTTGTCCTTTTTTGTGTCCTCTGTCTGGCTGGCTGCCCTGTGAGGCAGTTCTGTCTAGCAGTCCTGTTCTCTTTCTCTCTTGCGATGTTTTGTTGAGGTGGCTGAATCAGTCAGTATTTTATATAAGCTCCCACATCATACTGAATATGTTCTTCTATCATAAGCAGATGAAGGTTAGAACTTATTTGGGATCAGAGGTCAAGGTAAAGAAGGGGGAGGAAGCGGGGACTGATATTATCCCTGTGAGCTCAGAAAGCCTTTTTAACTTATCATATTACATCAAGTGGTATTCATTCTCTGAAGCCTACAGTGATATAGTATTCAGAGGCCCTGTTCCGGCTGTTCAATTTTTCATTCATAAAAGATGTATACTACTGTTGTACATTAACTTGGATCAGTTCTCTATTTGAATATGTAGTGTTATGTGTGTATAGCTGTTAAGACTAGAAAAATATTATTTTATGCGTGTAAAGATGATAGCACCAGCAGAATATAATATTATATATACTCACAAAAATTTCATTAATTTTTAGATTGTGTGTTGTGTGTCTGTTAACAATTTAACACTTTTGACTTCTTCATTAAAACATCTGATCCGATTTCAATGAAATTTTGCAAAAATCTTCCCTGGCCTAAGGTGAACCAAAATTGTGAATTATACAGTCCCCTACCCCAAGGGGCCTGAGGGGCCAAAAGGGGTAAAATTGATTTGGATTTCAAAAATATTCTTCTCAACACCCAGATAAGGTAGAATCAAATACTCTTCATGAATGGAATCATGCTTTACCAAATTGTGAATTCAATAGCCCCAGGGTCTCAAATTTCCCCGTGAGGAAGAGGTAAAGTTTATTATTGTTTATATAGGAGAACTAGATTTTTTAGCATAATTTGTTTAATTCCCATTAGAAATATTTCAAACTTGGTTAGAATTATGAGTGAAGGTTGATAGCTTGATGGTATGCCCATTTTGATCCTGACAGACCCCCAGGGGCTGCTGAACGGGGCCAAAAGTGGTCAAATTGCAATTTTGAGCTTAGCGTTGGTTATTTCCCACTGGAAATAACTTTATAAGAATTATTAGTATAGGATGACAGTTTTGATGTAATGCATGTATTGACTCTATATTCAGTGTCACAATTTCTGTTTCCTGACACTTGATAACAATCCTTTAACCTTTATATTCAATATTACTTCTCTCAGGTGACCATCAAGGTCGTTAGGTCTCTTGTTATTACATATTCATTACTGTAAATGAAGATGTGTCGGCTTCTGTAAAAATTGGCAGAAAGTTTCGTATAATTTGGCAAAATGTATCTGTGTGTTCAATAGTTCCAAATAACACAAGAACAGCACATCATACATTATACCTGACATAATTGCTAGCAAGTTTTGGGTTTTGTAGACAAGAAATGTCAAGGAATTGAGAATTAAAGATTTTTAATCTCAATATTGAAGTATGTTAAATGTAAATTTCTCTATATGAGGTTCCATTATTTTCCTTTACAGAATTGTAAAACATTGCAGTTGATTACAAAAACAATCCTAACATAAACAGCATCTCTAATTTGACTTGTTGGCTGTCACCCAAAATTTAAATACATAAAAATGATACTTAACTGTTTATATTTAAAGTGTGATTGTGTTGAAATGTATTTGTTTTTGCTTGTATTTCATAAATTTAAAGAATTTTCAATACATTTCATTTAAAATTGATAACTTCTTAATACTGGGAGAACACATCTGTCCTGCAGCCATTGAAACTGAAGATAGGGGGCTTTATTGAATAATGTATTGAAGTGTCTCTTTATGTCATTTAAGGTCAAAATAAATGACAACTTCATATCACAATTCTTTGTCATTTACTTGGACTCAAGTGGCATATAGACAGTTCAATGCTTAGGAGGGCATTTATCAATATTGATGGATTTAAGATGCAGTGAATGCCACCAAATGCAGAACCATCATGAAGTCTTTAATGTCAGTACAGAAACGGAAACTGATTACAATGTGACAAAAGTTGAATTCATCATGATACTGTAACTTGGGTACAAACATAACTTTAAATTGTATTAGGTTTTTAATTTCTGCTGAAAAATACTTTTTCATGTATTATGACTGTATCTCAAATGAAATATAAAATTGTGTAAGTTTATTTACCCTTGATTAACTATCTACTCTTTATTGACCCCTGACCTACTCTCTAAATACCCTTAACCTGCTCTTTATTTACCCGACCTACTCTTTATTTACCCTAGACCTGCTCTTTATTTACCCTTGACCTACTCTTTATTTACCCTTGACCTGCTCTTTATTTACCCTAGACCTGCTCTTTATTTACCCTTGACCTACTATTTATTTACCCTTGACCTACTCTTTATTTACCCTTGACCTGCTCTTTCTTTACCCTTGACCTGCTCTTTATTTACCCTTGACCTGCTCTTTATTTACCCTTGACCTGCTCTTTCTTTACCCTTGACCTGCTCTTTCTTTACCCTTGACCTATTCTTTATTTACCCTTGACCTACTCTTTATTTACCCTTGACCTGCTCTTTATTTACCCTTTACCTCATCTTTATTTACCCCTGACCTCATCTTTATTTACCCTTGACCTACTCTTTATTTACCTGTGACCTGCTCTTTATTTACCCTTGACCTACTCTTTATTTACCCTTGACCTGCTCTTTATTTACCCTGTACCTACTCTTTATTTATCCTTGACTTACTAATTATTTACCCTTGACTTACTGTAGATGTTTGAGACATTCCATTTTTGCTTTTTTCAAAGATGAAATATATTTGCGAAATGATTTATGTTGATATTGAAATTTATAGAGAAATTCATGGTCTCTTTAATGATTTCTTTGAAAAATTCATACTTTGCGCTTTTGGTAAAAGAAAGATTTGGACCATATAAACTCCACTTTACAGTGTCAAATCTAGTTAAATCATTTTGGCATATTCTTGTATATTTGTAATTATTATCAAATATATAGTTCAAGTGTATTTCTGTAGGCTCTTTAAATTGAGCATGTAAAGGGGCTGTGGTGGCCAAGTGGTTATGGCGCTCAACCATCCTTATCACTAGCCCTCTAGGTCTAGGGTTTGAGGCAGAGGTAGGACAGTTGTCTTCTCCACCACCCAAATCATTACATGACCCTGGCTGTTAATCAGACTTAAAACAACAATAGACAAACAGACTGAGCATTTCAGTGTTTTTCTGACATTATTGGATTTTTTATATAATGATAACTGAATCATGAAAGATAGTTATTAAAAAATATCTTGAGTTAACAGGGAAGAGTGTGTGAAACCCTTTTGTTACTAACCTAACATTATGGTAATTGATCAATTTATGTTTATTTATCAATATTCAAATTTGTTTTGATAATGTTTCATATTGTGTAAATTGGTATTGTAATGCATATTATTAATGTTGATTTTATCTAGCCTGTTATACCAGTTTATAATTTTGTTTTTGGTTTTTAACATTTAAAAATTTGTCTTCCTTTCAGGGTAATATTGTGTTTCATTTAGTATCTGCATGGCGTTATTTATGAGCTAGGTGCATATTACACTATATTATCATGTAGATGTGTGATATAATGACAAACATTTATGCAGGTACAGCTGTTTTGATAAATTAAACCAATAAAATAATATTATGATTCATAAGATTATCTAGGTATGTGTTCCATTTAGAATTTTCTAGCTCTTTCATTCATACTGTTACAGTAATAAGGAAAAAATCAGGACATTAGGTCGAATACAAAATTATTGTCTTAGCTGCACTCTTTTGTGTTCAATATGAAATTGAATATAAGAAATATTAGTATTAATTTATTAATTGTATGTTTATCAATGCAAACTTAACTTCATATGGTTTATTTTCTATCTTTACAGTTTGTGAAAGCATAGACATTAGGAATTACGTGAAAGATTTCAAGAGGAAGCTGGCCAATTGTACAGTGATTGAAGGTTTTCTTAAAATTGTTCTTATTGAGAAACCAAAACATGGACAATATGATCAACTTAGTTTTCCTGATCTTGTGGAAGTCACTCACTATGTGTTGCTTTACCGAGTGTATGGTCTACGCAGTTTAAGTCAGATCTTCCCTAATCTGGCAGTAATACGAGGACAAGACCTGTTTTATTTCTACTCTCTCGTCATCTATGAGACTATAGACATGGAGGATATTGGATTAATTGGCTTGACAACCATTGAAAGAGGTGCAGTTCGATTGGAGAAGAATCCTAACTTGTGTTATATCGATACCATTGATTGGATGAAAATTGTTCCTTCCATGCAACTGTCAGATCATTACTTTAAGGGAAATAAGTTAACTACGGAATGTGTTAATGTATCTCCAGAAAACTGTCCTGTGACGACTGTTAATGGGAAACGGGAACCCCGAAGTTGGAACTTACATCACTGTCAAAAGCTGTTAGGTAAGTTTACATGTAAATATAGAGGTAAATTTACAAAAGGATTTGCTTAGAAAATGACAAAGAGCAGAAAAATAAAAGAACAACAGTATTTAAAGTGAAAGGTTCATCACTCCAGGTAAGAAATGTGATCTTTTAATTACCCTCTGGGAAAACCATGTCATACAAATCAAGTATGTGTAACCTGAAGATTGGGAAAAGATAGAGTATATGTAAAACATGATCATGACAATGCAATCCTTCAGTGATATTGGAGATGTAGGTTGATCGATCAGTCAATTCAGTATGTAGAAAAGCATAGACTTTAAAAATCAACAACTTCTGGCTATTTTGATATGTAATGCATAACATGTTTACGTTATAATATGGCAATCAGTCCAGTGATTGTTTGTTACTTTCTGAAAAAGGCAATGTACCATTTGTCATGTCACTAAACGCTCGAGAAATTTAGAAAATACTGGAAATTGATACTGAAATAGACTTGTTCATGATGACTGAAGCAGGGATGATCAGGAAGCAATTTCTACATGAATCACAGTATCAAAATCCGGGTACCAATGATTAAAACCTTTTATCTAAAATTCACTAATTGTAAAAAGAGTAAGAATACATTTTGTGTATGTCAAACTTAAAAGGTTTTAACCCTTGAAAAAGATACCAAACTAGTTTATCATTGTATAGACTGAGAACAGAAATTCATTCTGAATATATGGAGTACTGTCTTGTATGTGACTGATTATATTTCACCAGACCAATTTGTTATCTAATTCAGTCTGTAATTGTTAAATAATGAAACAAGTTTTGATATCTTTGTCATGAGAGTTTTCTGGTGTCATTCCTAGGAAATAGAGTTGTTATGTGTGTGAGCTTGACACTCTGCAGTCAGTCTTTCTCCATTTTGTCTCTGTACCAAGTGTCAGTGTGCCATGTAATGAGACTGCTTATTAAAATCTACATAAAAAATCTCAGATGTAGAAAAACACATCAAGTGAAATTAAACTTCTGATTCAGGAGAGAAAAAGCGAGAGCCTGGACAGTAAGCAAGTGTGATAACGCTGTTTGATTCATAGGATACAATTGGAAAGTACCGAATAGATCCAAGTGAAAATTGTTTACAGTTAAAAAGTCAGTATGAAGGCATGCATCTTTGGTTGGAATGACGGTGAAGCATGAAGGAAGATGTCTGCTGTGTTTAATCCGTTATCTCTACCTTGGCTGTATGTGCATCATTGTATACTCTTCACTGCCAGGTCTGGTGTAGGGACCTGTGTGGTGAGTTATACTCGCGAATCTGTCTAAGTCTGGTCTGGTTTAGGGACATCCTTGTATACTTTACTTCCAGCCCAGGCCCGGTCTGGTATAGGGACGTGTGTGGTGAGTTATACTCTTGAGTCTATCTAAGTCTGGTCTGGTTTAGGGACATCCTTGTATACTTGACTTCTAGCCCAGGCCTGGTCTGGTATAGGGACCTGTGTGGTGAGTTATACTCTTGAGTCTGTCTAAGTCTGGTCTGGTTTAGGGACATCCTTGTATACTTTACTTCCAGCCCAGGCCTGGTCTGGTATAGGGACCTGTGTGGTGAGTTATACTTTTGAGTCTGTCTAAGTCTGGTCTGGTTTAGGGACATCCTTGTATACTTTACTTCCATCCCAGGCCAAGTATAGGGACCTGTGTTGAGTTATACTCTGTGTCTAGTCAGACTCGGGGACATACTTGTAAACTGGACCAGCATGGTGAGTTGTGATAAACTTCTAGACTGGTTGGGCTCTTGAGACTTTTATTATTTTGTTCAAGTTGGAAATAAAGTGTTATCTTAGATCCTGGGACATAATGGTATTCAGTCTCATTTTTTACAGTGTTTATGGTCTTCAAATCCATCTTCTAAAGACTTAAGTTAGAGTGTCTATGGACTTCAGATCCATCTTCTTAAGACTTAAGTTAGAGTGTCTATGGACTTCAAATCCATCTTCTAAAGACTTAAGTTAGAGTGTCTATGGACATCAGATCCATCTTCTAAAGAGTTAAGTTAGAGTGTCTATGGACTTCAAATCCATCTTCTGAAGACTTAAGTTAGAGTGTCTATGGACATCAGATCCATCTTCTAAAGACTTAAGTTAGAGTGAATTTCAATTTAAAAAATGTTTAATTAAATCTTGACTGCTTTGGGTAAAAGAAAGAAAAAAAGAACATCTTGCAGTAGCCAGAAAGATTTCGGCACTTCCAGGGAAGTGTTAGCTTTGATGGCAACACAGTTTGGAAATAGCAAGAAGGGAATTATGATGTACAGAAAATGATTTTTATCCGTTAAATAGGAAAACAAGCTATTCACAGGAGGCAATGAATGTTACCGTTTTACTGATTGTATATACAGGATGAGGAAAACTTCGTGCAAGATCAAAGGTCATGTTGTGAGCATTTATTGACCTTATTAATGTACCTTACTTACAAATCATATATCAAGTCCATGAAGCCTTCTCTGTGATGCTGGTTTATGATGTTTGGGCGGTGATGGATACCAAGGTGTGATTCACAGCAGCAGCTTTTGGAGATAGGGATGACACTGGATAAACTCTCTCCAGCAGCAACATGGTATTGTAACTTATCAGGAATGTCCCCACCTTTGTGTTGAGGAGAAAATACACAGTTATACCAGCTGGTCAGTCACAACTATGTACTTTTATACTTTTAATTACTGGCTATATACAGAAGAAATGTATGCTAACATTCCTGTAAAATGGTCATGAATAACTTCACCATTGCCTTTCACCTGGTATTTTGACAAAGGGATTAAATTAGAAACCTAGAGAATATATATGAAATGAAGGAATAATTGGTCAGAATTGTCATTAACATTGAAATGTTAGAAAGTAGTTGATGAAGTACTGTGGCATCTTCATGATAGCAAAATCCAGGTAGACGAGCTATTGTTTACATTAATTAATATCAAGGCATTTTTAAATGAAATAGCAGGTGTACAAACTATTGCAACTTTGATTGACCACTAGATAATACACTTAACAATTTCTAAACTTTTGCTTTTAAATTTCATGATATGTAATGCATCAAATTGACAATATACTGTATAGGTTGAAGTTATTATATACATTTGAATAGCAGCACAGTTGCTATACAGGTGCTTGTAAAGAACTACACAGTTTTCTTTGTGATAAAGAGGGGTGTGTATACTTGGCACAACTGTAAAATATCACACCAGTTGGAGTCAAACATACTATAACTAAATAACTTCAAGAAGACAAACTCACAGCTTCTGTGCTTTATGACTGATTGTATTGCTATCATGCATGTTCTGGCCAAGGATCAGATAGCTGGATGTGTGTGGTTATTGTTTGATGTAATCCCTGTGTCTGGAATGAAAAACAAAAGGATATTTCAGTTTAAGAAGATTCTTGCACTGTTATAATTCAATAAACAGCTGCCTATTTCAAAAAAAAAAAAAAAAAAAGATTCAATCAAATATGAATTCCTGGAATAAAATGAGGTAAATCACTGTTTTGCCTTCAGTACGGGAAAAACAAACAAACAAAAATAATCCAGTAGAAACCAGTTATATAGACATGATAAGCTTTCTCAGAATTGCTGGAGAATAGGTGGTAGAGGAATAAATGTTTACTTCAGTTTAATAACTAGACCCCTACTGTGTAATATTATTTCCATCAATCTGTGGCTAGGACTCCTTTCCAAATATTTGTTTATTTGCCATATCCCACTCTTTCCCTACATCATGATTTATGGCAATATATGTATAAATTTTATGTATTATTGTTATCTGAAGGTGTTGTTGACGAGAGAGTGGACTACTTTACAACTTCTACTGTGTCCAATAACATAAGGCGAGTTTGCTCTGACAAGCACTGGCACTACTACTGTAAATATTTAGAGATACACTGTGTGTATTACATATTTTCTGTCCTGGTCATTCAAAATGGTGATTAGAACAAGATGGATGGTTCCCTCTAGCTACTCTAGCTGCCCTATCTATGTCAACTATAGCACCTGACTTGTTGCCTTTATTGGTAATATGCTACCTGTAGTTCACACCTTGGCTACACCTGAACACCTGATGACAGATGGTTTCTCTGCTGACAGCCTGCAGGTAGATCAGAGGTGTCTTGATCCTTGCCCCAGCTCACTGGCCAGGACTACACAGTTGTATTTGTGATGTCCAGTTCAGGTCAAGCCTATTTCTGTCCTGAAGTTATGTGGAATAATATAAGCACAGAGACCTATGTTTTGTATTTAGCACTCTTGTTGAAGACCATGGATTCCTTGTATTTTATATTGAAAAATGAAAATTAAAAGGAAAAAGAGTTTGATTATTGTATTTCCAACAAATCCATTACTGTTATTTAGAATTAAACATTTTCTTGATTTCTTTAACTGGCACTATTTTCTCTCAAAAATTCAAAATAAGTTGCTATATATTTGTCAGGAATGAATTTGAAAAAGAGCACATTTTGAACAAAGTATTTATATATATATATATATATACACATGAAAGTTACAATTTTGTTGTTTTTGTTATTTTTATGCTACACACATATGCATTCGACAGAATTATTTAGTAGCCTAAGTTGTAAGTTACATTTAAAGTTTTTAAAAACTTTTGATTAAGTTTCCATGGCTAGATGTGTATACTTAAGGGCAAAATTACATACATGTTAATGTTTTAATTAAGCTTACCGACAAAATTTTCAGTAGAAAAACAAAACAAAGTGACTGATTTTGTGCAGGAAGGTATGTAGGACACGGGAGATATACCTGTGTATCTTCAGAAGTTGTTTATTGATATATGGGGCAAAGTGTGAAATGGGCTACATGATAATACTATAAGAAAAACCAACATATTTGAAAACTTAATATATGTATGCGTGTGTGACTGCCTTATGAGGTATGAAATTTATTTTTTGACTGAAAGTAGGACGTATTTCAGTTTAAAATGATTTGTAATGTTATATCTTATGCTTTCATATCCTTTGTTAAGTGTAGTTGTACCTATAGCAGCCAAAGTTGAACTCTTATTATGATGTTTTGTTAAAGTTTTGTTTTGGTGTGGCTGACAAGATTTGGTTTTTAGTGTCAAACCATTTCAGTGTTTTTCTCTTGACAAGGATAATACACAAATTTTGTTATGGTGGATCTCGATAATTAGGACCTGAAATTGAATACTTTACTTGTTACTTGATCATGGAAAAAATGGATATTTGGGGGAAAATCAAGGAAAATTTAATATTGTAACCCCCTTTTCTTTCTTTCTTTTTTTGATTAATCTGGAAATAATCACCATATGTTTTTTCTATCAAACTTTGTGGCAGTTAAATTTCTGAAACATTGTCAAATACAGGATTTTAGCAGTTTTTTCAAGATTCTCATGGATTTTAACTATTCTGGCTGTTCAAAGAGTTTTCTTTTTATTGGGGGTACTGTTGTTGTTTTACATTAAAAAATAGAATTAAAATCTCTAGAAATTTTATTTAAAACAGTGTATTGCTTTACACATAGAGCCTCAGTTTTGTAGGGTGGTGATTATAGTGATGATGAATAGAAAGGCAGGAGGATGCCCCAACACAATACCTAGACTTCATATAGTTTGATAGTAACACATACATGTACCATTTATACTTATAAAACCCTCCCATACTGTAAAAATTAGTGTTAAAATTTGAAGAGGACTTGTACATGAATTTTGTGTGGCTTACTATTTTAAAGTTGATTAATCTGATGGGATAGCTCAATGGTAACATATTTGCCTCTTACTAAGATATCCAGGGTTTGATTCCCTAAATGACATGAACATAAAGAGGGTCATTCGCCCAATTACGTGGATTTTCCCTGAGTGAATCCTTCTTCTGTAGTGAGTACAACCCCATGGACTTCAATCCAGCCGACAAGCATAATTTAGATTATACATGTTATGCAAAAATAAAGAAGAGGGCTAGTTTATGGACAGGGGTTTATTTGTGGTAAAGTAAAGAGGATATAGCATAGTACCATCTTTGACATCAGTAGCAGCATACAAAATAAGCTACACATGAACACATGATAAACTGGTAGAATTTAACAAATCCTTTTACAAACTCCTGTTTCCTTGATTGAAGGCCCCTGAAGTGTTTTAGTAATACTAGGAAATAATAGTATGCTGTTTTCAACATATGTAACAGATGTTGATTTCCTTGTTGATCACCATGGTTCAACAATTTCCTTTAACAATTAAGTACAAAGCAATTAAAATGAGAAAATGGGGGAAATAAATTAATGATAATTATGAAAAAATATAAGGAGAAATATTGTGCTGTTAAAAGGACTTGTTGATCTTGATGTGCTATTTGGAATTCCATTTCTTTCAAATTGACATGAACATATAGTATAAAGTACTCTAGATACAAATGGTTTTACAGTTGATACACATACCAACAGAGATCAGCTTAAAAACACTACATTATAGCTTTGTTCACCTGGTCAGGTGTGTACTGGAATATTTTCTGAGTTATATTCTCACAGTCCTACAAACATCCCACCAAATGATCAGCTTATAATTATCTCTATATACGACTTACAATTTGTTTTGATACATGTATAGCAATAACTGAATACACCTTATATACACACCTACATTTTTTCTGCATACCTGGACTGTATACCACAGTCAGTACATACCAGTAAAGGAAGTCTGTGTATTCTCTGTCCAGGTAAACTTCACGCCTGACTGTACTTTGGAAAAACATGTACAAGGGACCTGAGTGTGACCTTGACCTTAGCTTTGTTTATAATCATAAAATGTGACTTTATGATAGTTGGCAATCACTGCTAGCTAATGGCTGTATGGTGCAACTGATCTGTTTACCTGGGGATAGGGGACACAGTATTACACAGTCCTTACAAAGATAACACTATCAGATCAGTGAGAGATACACTGTAGTACACAGAATATACAGAGATATCCCTGTCAGATCCATGAGGAGTATAGTGTAATACACAGAATATACAGAGATATCCCTGTCAGATCCATGAGGGGTATAGTGTAATACACAGAATATACAGAGATATCCCTGTCAGATCCATGAGGGGTATAGTGTTATACACAGAGATATCCCTGTCAGATCCATGAGAGGTATAGTGTTATACACAGAGATATCCCTGTCAGATCCATGAGAGGTATAGTGTTATACACAGAATATACAGAGATATCCCTGTCAGATCCATGAGGGGTATAGTGTAATACACAGAATATACAGAGATATCCCTGTCAGATCCATGAGGGGTATAGTGTTATACACAGAGATATCCCTGTCAGATCCATGAGGGGTATAGTGTTATACACAGAATATACAGAGATATCCCTGTCAGATCCATGAGGGGTATAGTGTAATACACAGAATATACAGAGATATCCCTGTCAGATCCATGAGGGGTATAGTGTTATACACAGAATATACAGAGATATCCCTGTCAGATCCATGAGGGGTATAGTGTTATACACAGAATATACAGAGATATCCCTGTCAGATCCATGAGGGGTATAGTGTTACACACAGAGATATCCCTGTCAGATCCATGAGGGGTATAGTGTTATACACAGAGATATCCCTGTCAGATCCATGAGGGGTATAGTGTTATACACAGAATTTACAGAGATATCCCTGTCAGATCCATGAGGGGTATAGTGTTATACAAAGAATATACAGAGATATCCCTGTCAGATCCATGAGGGGTATAGTGTTATACACAGAGATATCCCTGTCAGATCCATGAGGGGTATAGTGTTATACACAGAATATACAGAGATATCCCTGTCAGATCCATGAGGGGTATAGTATTATACACAGAAGATACAGATATCCCTGTCAGATCCATGAGGGGCATAGTGTTATACACAGAATATACAGGGGGTTAACTGTCATACACTGACCTCACACAGATATCCCTTTCAAACTTGTAAGGAATATATTGTAATACCGAAATTAAACAGAGATATTTGTGTTAAATGTATAAGGGGTATACTGTCATACACTGATTTTATAGCGATATCCCTGACTTATACATGTGTGCATTATATACAAATGAGCGGTTTCCACATTCTGTCTTGAGAGATATTCTTCAGGTTGTACAGTAATAATATACTACATGAGTCAATGATGTTGTCAAAATATACATTAACAAACAGGTTGTATGTTTTTCTTGAGCTGTAAGTCCATATTTGGAAATCATGTAAACTGGTTTACTTGTTCAACTGGTTTTAGATTTAGTATGATTACTGCATTTACAAATGTGCAGTATTCGGTTCACATATCATTAATTCTTGGTGTAAAACTGTCCATTAACTGAGAATTTATGCAGCGTGATACCTTAAGTAGATATTGCATTATCATGGGTTACTTTAAAAAAGATGAGCTACAACAGTATTCATGGATGATAGAGTCATATGAATTTGAAAGAGTTGTATTGTTGTAATGCAATACTTGTAACTTTGTTACGTGCGCTGTCTTGTATGAAAATACTGTAAAACTAAAGGTTATCACTGATGAGAAGGAGCTGCATCATTGTGTAGATTATAGGACATTTTTTTCAGTTTTGACAATGATGGACTATATTTCTGATTGATTCAGGGTTCATTAACATAATTTTCATCTGTTGACAAAAAACGGTGGAGCTGTCACAGGATGGAGGGTGGGCGTATTCTGTTCAATCCTCTGAGCTGGCTCAATATCATTAGCTTAGAAATACACAGCAATAAATTTAACTTTTTATCAAAATGAAATCCTGTAAGTTGAAGACATGTGGAATAACAAAGCCATTGATGGTCTTAAATACAATGTCTGCATTAATCAAATAAAATTGCCAGAGTCCTTCATTCAAAATGTATGTATATATCTGTCATATTATGGGGATTTGAGAGAAGATAAAAAGATATCTCTGGAAACTGAATGGAAATTATTGCTCAAGTTATAACTTCTGTTATTAAGTACTTTAACAAATGGTTTATTTCATGACTAGAAGGATACAAATCTTATTTTAGGAAAAAATGTCTTATTATCATTAGAGCTTTTATTGGAAATTATAATTCTGATATTGTCAACATCAATTGATGTTTGGATCTGTACAAGATCAAATATAAGTACTGCTGATTATAAAAGAAATATTTCCAGACCTGGATGATAGATGTAACATTGATAGAGTCATAGAATTACTATAGAATTCCTGATAGCTTTGAGCCAAGGCTTTATTTCCAAACTATTTCCAACATGCAGTCAGTAACTAAAGATATAATAAATTATTGTATAAATTCAGAATATTGCTGTTCTAAATGATATTTTCCTGTATATTGAGCATGTGAAGAAAATAATTTTGAAGATGTTTGGGGACACTACCCTTTATCAGTCACTTAAGAATATTGCTGATGGTTACCTGTGTTTTAATTTTATGTTATTAAATTGATTATTTATTTTGCAGACTGTCCTAAAGGGAGTAACTGTCCCAGTGGGATGTGCTTTGAAGGTCAATGCTGTGACTCCAAGTGTTTGGGAGGGTGTTATGGACCTAAGACCTCCCAATGCATCGCCTGCAAGAATGTAATGGACAGCACCCAGGGTTATTCCCAATGTATTGATCACTGTTCACCGGGCACCTACAAGGTAAAACCTGGTCAATCAAAACAGTCACCAAAGGTCAGGTTCAAAATACCACAGATAAATAGCTTGGAAACATGTCTATCATAGCCTTTCATAGAAGCTTTTTCTTCTCTCAAATGTCTGGTACATGATAACAGAAAACCTATCAGAAATATCTCTTATTTTCTGAAAGTTTTCAAAATGTTTTGATTACTGCCCAGATGTAATCGTAGTGTCTGTCTCTGCCCATGCTCTGTGCTATGCAATCAGTTGCTGTACACATGGTTTCTAGAAAAAGACTACAACTTTTCAGCCCTTAGGATTTAATCTTAACTTGGTCAGACGAGCAGCCATGAAATCCAATGAAAATAAATCCCTGTGGAAAATCAATAAGTTTACAGGGTATAAACACCTCAACTCCTATCAGACTTGTCAAATTTAATATTGTTTTATAGATAAATGAGTATTATTGCTGTTGTAGTTTCACAATCGTCGCTGCCTCAGACTTTGTCAAATTTAATATTGTTTTATCGATAAACAAGAGTATTATTGCTATTGTAGGTTCACAATCGTCGCTGTCTCAGACTTGTCAAATTTAATATTGTTTTATAGATAAACAAGAGTATTATTGCTGTTGTAGGTTCACAATCGTCGCTGCCACAGACTTTGTCAAATTTAATATTGTTTTATAGATAAATGAGTATTATTGCTGTTGTAGTTTCACAATCGTCGCTGCCTCAGACTTTGTCAAATTTAATATTGTTTTATCGATAAATGAGTATTATTGCTGTTGTAGGTTCACAATCGTCGCTGTCTCAGACTGTGTCAAATTTAATATTGTTTTATAGATAAACAAGAGTATTATTGCTGTTGTAGGTTCACAATCGTCGCTGCCTCAGACTTGTCAAATTTAATAATGTTATATAGATAAATGAGTATTATTGCTGTTGTAGGTTCACAATCGTCGCTGCCTCAGACTTGTCAAATTTAATATTGTTTTATCGATAAACAAGAGTATTATTGCTATTGTAGGTTCACAATCGTCGCTGCCTCAGACTTGTCAAATTTAATATTGTTTTATAGATAAACAAGAGTATTATTGCTGTTGTAGGTTCACAATCGTCGCTGCCTCAGACTTGTCAAATTTAATAATGTTTTATAGATAAACAAGAGTATTATTGCTGTTGTAGGTTCACAATCGTCGCTGCCACAGACTTTGTCAAATTTAATATTGTTTTATAGATAAACAAGAGTATTATTGCTGTTGTAGGTTCACAATCGTCGCTGCCTCAGACTTGTCAAATTTAATAATGTTATATAGATAAATGAGTATTATTGCTGTTGTAGGTTCACAATCGTCGCTGCCTCAGACTTGTCAAATTTAATATTGTTTTATAGATAAACAAGAGTATTATTGCTGTTGTAGGTTCACAATCGTCGCTGCCTCAGACTTGTCAAATTTAATAATGTTATATAGATAAATGAGTATTATTGCTGTTGTAGGTTCACAATCGTCGCTGCCTCAGACTTGTCAAATTTAATATTGTTTTATAGATAAACAAGAGTATTATTGCTGTTGTAGGTTCACAATCGTCGCTGTCTCAGACTTGTCAAATTTAATAATGTTTTAAAGATAAATTAGTATTATTGCTGTTGTAGGTTCACAATCGTCGCTGTCTCAGACTTTGTCAAATTTAATATTGTTTTATAGATAAACAAGAGTATTATTGCTGTTGTAGGTTCACAATCGTCGCTGACTCAGACTTGTCAAATTTAATAATATTTTAAAGATAAATGAGTACTATTGCTGTTGTAGGTTCACAATCGTCGCTGCCTCAGACTTGTCAAATTTAATATTGTTTTATAGATAAACAAGAGTATTATTGCTGTTGTAGGTTCACAATCGTCGCTGCCTCAGACTTGTCAAATTTAATATTGTTTTATAGATAAACAAGAGTATTATTGCTGTTGTAGGTTCACAATCGTCGCTGCCTCAGACTTGTCAAATTTAATAATGTTTTAAAGATAAATGAGTATTATTGCTGTTGTAGGTTCACAATCGTCGCTGCCTCAGACTTGTCAAATTTAATAATGTTTTAAAGATAAATGAGTATTATTGCTGTTGTAGGTTCACAATCGTCGCTGCCTCAGACTTGTCAAATTTAATAATGTTTTAAAGATAAATGAGTATTATTGCTGTTGTAGGTTCACAATCGTCGCTGCCTCAGACTTTGTCAAATTTAATATTGTTTTATAGATAAACAAGAGTATTATTGCTGTTGTAGGTTCACAATCGTCGCTGCCTCAGACTTGTCAAATTTAATAATATTTTAAAGATAAATGAGTACTATTGCTGTTGTAGGTTCACAATCGTCGCTGCCTCAGACTTGTCAAATTTAATATTGTTTTATAGATAAACAAGAGTATTATTGCTGTTGTAGGTTCACAATCGTCGCTGCCTCAGACTTGTCAAATTTAATATTGTTTTATAGATAAACAAGAGTATTATTGCTGTTGTAGGTTCACAATCGTCGCTGTCTCAGACTTTGTCAAATTTAATATTGTTTTATAGATAAACAAGAGTATTATTGCTGTTGTAGGTTCACAATCGTCGCTGCCTCAGACTTGTCAAATTTAATAATGTTTTATAGATAAATGAGTACTATTGCTGTTGTAGGTTCACAATCGTCGCTGCCTCAGACTTGTCAAATTTAATATTGTTTTATAGATAAACAAGAGTATTATTGCTGTTGTAGGTTCACAATCGTCGCTGCCTCAGACTTTGTCAAATTTAATAATGTTTTAAAGATAAATGAGTATTATTGCTGTTGTAGGTTCACAATCGTCGCTGCCTCAGACTTGTCAAATTTAATAATGTTATATAGATAAATGAGTATTATTGCTGTTGTAGGTTCACAATCGTCGCTGCCTCAGACTTTGTCAAATTTAATATTGTTTTATCGATAAACAAGAGTATTATTGCTGTTGTAGGTTCACAATCGTCGCTGCCTCAGACTTGTCAAATTTAATAATGTTTTAAAGATAAATGAGTATTATTGCTGTTGTAGGTTCACAATCGTCGCTGCCTCAGACTTTGTCAAATTTAATATTGTTTTATAGATAAATGAGTATTATTGCTGTTGTAGGTTCACAATCGTCGCTGCCTCAGACTTGTCAAATTTAATAATGTTATATAGATAAATGAGTATTATTGCTGTTGTAGGTTCACAATCGTCGCTGCCTCAGACTTGTCAAATTTAATAATGTTATATAGATAAATGAGTATTATTGCTGTTGTAGGTTCACAATCGTCGCTGCCTCAGACTTTGTCAAATTTAATATTGTTTTATAGATAAACAAGAGTATTATTGCTGTTGTAGGTTCACAATCGTCGCTGCCTCAGACTTGTCAAATTTAATAATGTTTTATAGATAAATGAGTATTATTGCTGTTGTAGGTTCACAATCGTCGCTGCCTCAGACTTGTCAGATTTTATATTTTTTTTATACATTAACAAGAATATTATTGCTGTTGTAGGTTCACAACCGTCGCTGCCTCTTGGACAAAGAATGCATGAGTATGAAAATGTATCTGGTGCCATTTACAAACACAACAGCAGCTGAGTGTGCCCCACACTGCCCTGCTGGAATGAGCGTCAACAATGTATCCAAGTGTGAAATATGCGAAGGAAGATGTCCAAAAGGTTGCTTATAACCACAATATCATTTTTATGAAATCATTTATATATTTATTGGATCAGAAAAGGATTCTATCATTCTTTTCAGTAATTCTTATATACCATGCTGCAGAAAGCCCAGGAGGGGAGTTGGGGCAGTACATCTTATTACAAGTTAACTAGATGGGCTTATTATTATTACCCTGCTGTAGTACACAGAGGGAGTAGGGAGGGCAATCATCTTACAGCAAGTTAGGGGTGGGCTTATTATTACAGGACAGTATTTGTCTTTCTGTAGTCCAGGGTGGCAATCATCTTACAGCAAGTTAGGGGTGGGCTTATTATTACAGGACAGTATTTGTCTTTCTGTAGTCCAGGGTGGCAATCATCTTACAGCAAGTTAGGGGTGGGCTTATTATTACAGGACAGTATTTATCCTTCTGTAGTCCAAGGGTTGGGGAGTGGGAGCATACGTAGTGGTAGAAGTTATTTCATGCCATTGAAGCTATATTATTATGGAACAACAATAAATATAAACGTGCACGGGTTTTTTGCCAGATGATTACTTTTGTGATATTTCAAAAGATTTAATTGATAAATGATGATAAACGAAGTCTGTTGTCTGATCTGGTATGATTGTTTATAATAGCATGACTGGATTAGTAGGTTTTACTGGTGTTGTTCAATTTAACAGTCTGCCCACCCATGAGAGTTGACAGCGTAGATTCAGCTCAAAATCTCAAGGGATGCACATACATCAAAGGAGCCTTGGAAATCCGCATCAGCTCTGGAAGTGAGTACAACAATAATCAGACATCTCCAAAATCTTCTAAGGGTTGTAAACAGGGTTAACCACTAGCAATTCTGGCTAATATAGTGCTTTTCCAATAGGACAGTTATTTCTCATTTATTTACTCATGTATTATACTTACAATTAAGTATGTATTGATAAACATTAGAGATCTGTCTTGATTCAAGAATATTAATATTGTAGATATCTGTCTTTAATAAAACATATCAACAGAAGACATGGTTCTTAAGTCAAGCCTATTGGTATTGATATCTCACATTCGACATGTCTTCATTTACACCTATTGGTATTGATACCTCACATTAGACATGTCTTCATTTACACCTATTGGTATTGATATCTCACATAAGACATGTCTTCATTTACACCTATTGGTATTGATATCTTACATAAGACATGTCTTCATTTACACCTATTTGTATTGATATCTAACATTAGACATGTCTTCATTTACACCTATGGGTATTGATATCTCACATAAGACATGTCTTCATTTACACCTATTGGTATTGATATCTTACATAAGACATGTCTTCATTTACACCTATTTGTATTGATATCTAACATTAGACATGTCTTCATTTACACCTATTGGTATTGGTGTCTTCATTTATGTTTATTATATATACATCAGAGATGATACTGTATGTATGAAATTAGTGTTCACAGAATTAATATAATCTTCTGTAATATGAAGAATAGATATTTTGTTTGTCAGATCAGCTAAACCTGCAGAACAGCAACTATCCCAAATAAGGTTTAAGGTTGTAGGGCTAGGATAAATAAAAGTATGTTTTATGTTTATATAGTAAAAATGTAAAAAGTCAACTACAAGTATATAGTGTTAAAATTTTTCATGACCTGTTTCTAGTTTGTTCCAAATCAGCACCAACTCTTGTGACTTCATTCTTGGAAAGTTTGACAAAATCTAACGGAACCTTTAGCTATGAGAATTTCTTAGATAAGTTCTGTTATCAAAAAGCTAAGGTCAAGGTCATTGTTACTGTATAGAGATATATGTCAAACAATGACAAGGTCACTGTTACTGTAGAGAGATATATGTCAATAATGACAAGGTCATTGTTACTGTATAGAGATATGTCAATAATGACAAGGTCACTGTTACTGTAGAGAGATATATGTCAATAATGACAAGGTCACTGTTACTGTAGAGAGATATGTCAATAATGACAAGGTCACTGTTACTGTAGAGAGATATATGTCAATAATGACAAGGTCACTGTTACTGTAGAGAGATATGTCAGTAATGACAAGGTCACTGTTACTGTAGAGAGTTATGTGTCAATAATGACAAGGTCATTGTTACTGTATAGAGATATGTCAATAATGACAAGGTCATTGTTACTGTATAGAGATATGTCAATAATGACAAGGTCACTGTTACTGTAGAGAGATATATGTCAATAATGACAAGGTCACTGTTACTGTAGACAGATATATACATACTATATCTGTATAGAGGTATATGTCACACAATGATACAATTTACATGGGAGCAAGAGAGTTCACCAGGTATATTAAGCCAAATAAATGTAATATTGAAGATTTTGTTTCTCAGTGTTTTGTTTAATCTTCTCTAGGCAACATCGCTGTGGAACTGGAAGAAAATCTTGGACAGATTGAGGAAGTGATGACATATGTGTGGATCCATGCTTCCCATGCCCTTCTGTCTCTAAACTTCTTTAGGAACCTTAAGAGAATACGTGGCATGACCCTGTACAATGCTAAGTAAGCTGTTGTAGTAATGTTTCTGTACCTCCTGGATGGATGGAAGGTTTTAATACATAAGGAGATTTCCCCAGTATTTAGTGTTTCATTAGACAACATCATTTCTATGGGAAAGATCATGACAACAACACATCTACTTCATCCTTAATATTAACAATTCAGATTTTGTATTTAAATTTTTTACAATAATTCTCTATTTTTGGTTATAAAATTATTTTTCTGCTTTTAATGGGGAGATAACAATATTTTCCTAATTCACAGCACATTGTTGATAGCATTGTTAATAGAAGATAGAAAAAAAATCTGATTCGTGATGGCCTGTGTCATGGCCTTTTGTGTACACCAGTTTGAAACATGTCATCAGATGAAACAAAATATTTTTGATGGGGAATGGAATATTTTTTTTCAAGAAGATGCATTTCCACAGTTCATGATTTCTTCTGTGTAAGTCCAACTAATGTAATATGCTTTTGTTCTTTTTCAGATATGCCTTAATGGTGAATGACAACAACAATCTTGAAAACTTGTTTCCTGAAAAAACCAAAAATAACTTAGAAATTCTAAATGGCAGCATGTTCTTCCATTTTAATCGCAAACTTTGCTACAACAAGATAATGGATCTCCTTAGCTCTGTGACAATGAACTCCACAGCTGACAACGACATCTCGGAAACAAACAACGGAAATCAGATGCCTTGTACGTCTAGTTGTGAACTCTCATGTGTAGTATCCACCATTAATAACTGTAAAATTAAGCTTAAAGAATCTTTTTAGCAGAAATCAAAGCAAATCTGTTACGAAGATATTTTTAAAGATAAATAGCAATACAGATTTCTAAATTTAGAATTCATGTGGGTCTTGTATCATTGGGATCTCTTCATATAGATTGATATAGATTTGAAGCGATTTACTGTCAGATATTTTGACTCAGAATGCCTTGTCAATTCAGTTGTCTGGATGACATATGATGAAAAGTTAGATTTTGGCTACAAAGCCATCATTTACATCACCTATTATCACTTGAAATAAATATTTCGTAAGATTTTCTTTCAAAAATGTTTATGTAAAAAGACATGTTGTCGTCCTGTTTTGGGTAATTTCTTGATAATAATTTTTAAAAATTTTTTTTTTTCCCAGGATAAGCTTTTGAAAATGAATATTGTTTTCTTGAAAATGATAATTCCTATATTTCTGGATTTTATTTCTATTATTATTCTTATTATTGTGATGTAATGTTGCCCTTCTCCCTTAGTCAATAGACCCGAGAATACATATCTATTTTATTGTTTCATACTTATGACATCAGTACAATTTAAAGCTTTTAGTTAGCATGATCTATATATGTAGTAATATGTATTTATCTCTGCCCTTCTGCCTGTCCTCAATTCTACCCTTTGACTTGCTTCATTAGCATGTGGAATGTAACCCCTAGATAACATTAGCCTCTCCATGGTTTTGTAGGTGTCTATGCTACACTCAACTTGACCATATTTCAAGTTACACCCAGAGTGGCTTTCTTTAGGTGGGAAAACTTCCAAATTGCAGACCAGCGAAACCTGCTCAGCTATGTTATTCACTACAAAGAAGCGTAAGTAGAATGGAAGTTCTGAGTGGAAACTACATTTGATGTATATTGTGTGTGTGGTAGGCTTGTAACTATCAAAATAAAAACAAGCTTACTTTTAGTATTATAAGTTAAAAGAAAAATAGTAAAACTGATATTAGTGAGAGATACAGGTATGAAAAGATAAAAATATAATGTGCTATGATCTGTTCATAGATAGGCATAGGTGGTATGTATTGTAATCACTGAAACCTTGTAGAGTTTGAATTCCTAGCCAATTATATACTCATGCTGTGTATGCTACCAAGGAACATATCATGCTTCCAAGCCTCCAGTGTTCCCATACCCTCAAATACAATTTATGGTCTGTATCACTTCATGACACAGGGGCCTGACATAGCTTTACCAGTATTATATATAGCAGATTTTATCATCTTTATTTCAAGTCCTGTCCAGAATGTGTCTACCTATGATGGACGCCATGCCTGCAGTGAGGATTTGTAAGTGTCTGCATACATTTAATGCTTAACTTCATGTAAATTGGTTAAAAAAAGTTTTTTGTCAATAATTTCAAGTTGTACAAAAGCAGCATTTGTGCAATTTACCTGATTATCATAATTTTCCTGCTTGCTTTTGATAGCAAATTGATCTGAAGATTCATTGAATTTTACTGATATAACCTTGGTCATATCCTGACATCTTGATAATTTGTTGATTTGACCTCAATAGTCTACTGACTTGTCCTTGATGATACTTGACCTTAATAATTTACAAACTTTACCACTGATTACAGCTGGAACACTAAAGACGTCCTCAGCACCAGAAGCATGAATGAGACTTACATGTACGAGATTCTGCTGAAGCTGAAACCTTGGACACAGTATGCCATCTACATAGAAACCTATACCACTGCACTCGCCAAGGTCGGTGCCATTAGCAAGGTGAAATATTTCCGGACAGCTGCTACAGGTGAGATTTAGGGAACAGGATGAGTTTGTCTATTACAGGTAAGGGTTTTGGGAACAATTTTATTTTATCTGCTGAAATCTACGTAAAAGTCCTTGCCGTGATGTGAGGCACACTTTGTATCCCTTGTTAATTTTGAAGGAAGTATATGCTTATATGCTGTTATGGGTATATTATGCCTTATGATTGATGTTTCACAAGGATTACTGCTGTTTATTTTATGATTTGGTCAATCTCTTACAGACTGTCACTGTTTTATCTTTGCACAAAAAAGTGGAGTCTTTGTCTTGTGAAAGTTGTTCATAGTTATAATTGGTTTTTCAGCACCTACTATTCCTCAGAATCTGGTCGTCAGAGCCACCAAACCAAATCAACTCCACCTGACTTGGGATCCTCCTGAGTCTCCCAATGGTAACGTCACTCATTATGAAGTGTATTGGCGTGAAGGCGAGCTAGATCCCAAGAAATATGATGTCAGAGATTATTGTACATCACGTAAGTCTTTATTTTTGTTGTTGACTCATTCCAAAGCCAAATTAATGTACAACCAACTTCTGTGTGGAAAAAAGATATTCCATGATTTATATTTTCATTTTGGTATATAGATAGAAAATTCTTATGCTAGGAATGCTTATTAGAACAATTTCAAATTAAATATTTTAAATCAAATTTAGAACATTTGAAATTTCTTTTGAGATTGGAAATTGTAGATACTGATTCTTTTGAAGCGATCAAAATGAATTGAATTCAAGATTATGTGAAGTCAGAGTATTTTCTATTTGTTTTGGGGACATTTTGGTTATCATTTATATTCATGCTTCAACTGGTCAAATCTTGTATTTTAAAATATATCTAAACCCATAATTAACATTTTTTTTATTTTGCACTGGAGGCCAGTTACCTGTTATGGCTGTGAAATATGTTACATCCTAACTTATGAATACTTGTTTATGTTCTGTAGCGGTACAACGAATTGATCAGAAACAGCAGGAAGAGTCTGAGAAAAGTAAAATTGAAAAGGAAAAGAACAAATATCAAGAAGGTCAGGAATGTTGTGAATGTGCTAGTACGAGTCGGCAGAAGAAAGAAGAAGAACAGAGAGAGAGGGAAATGCAAATCAACTTTCAAAATTTTTTACAAACCGCAATATACCTCAAGAGGTAATATGTTTACTAATGTTGTAGGACCAACTAATGATTCTCAACCTCTTATAAATGGATTGCTATTTGGATCATATTTATTAGCTTCAAAATTATTGAAGCTTATATTTTAATTACACAGGCATCATATTATATTTTCTATGTACCCGTGTTAACTTTGATTTGGCTTGATCAATAACAATTATAGTTACAGTAATCTCTGCAGTAATTTTTCATCATTAAATATACAAACAAGAATCAGATGATCAATGTATATAAGCAGAGTGTTTTCCTGTAGCACTGTGTTTCACAGATGATTAATGCCACAATAATTTTCTATATCTGTGCTGAAATTCTTTTAGGCCTTTGGCAAAAACTTCTGTTTATTTTGCACCTTGCAAAGATAGTTTGCAAACGTTAGTGTTAATGCTATATGTTGTGTGCAAGTGGGGATAATCCCATGTAAACAGAAGAATGAAGTTCATCTGTTCAGATAACATGATTGTATAGAGGTCTTAAATGCTGATTTCCAGATAAGGTTTTGTGCTCTTTAACATTGGGTAAACAAACTTAAATTGATAAATACCTATTTATTGTCGCTATTAGGTAATGCTACCAAATTAAAATCAATATTTCTATAACCAATAACTACTATGATCTGATTGTAGTCTTGACCCTTTGAAGAACTTAAACATTTTTGAGGATTAATGTGAAAAAGTTTGAATTCCTTTACTCACAAGTCAGGGTCATCATGAAAAATAATGCGGATATACATCATTAAACTAGGCTAGATAATACCTGACAGTGTTACCGCAACACTTACAATAACAGAACCAATCTGGTACGAGGACTGATACAATGTGTTGACAAGATTTTTGTTATGGAGCTTGTGTCATAGTTTTCATTAGATTGGCCAATTTTAAGATGTGTTTTGTCCATTGCTTACAAACCCTGATGTTAAAGAATACAAGTAAACTTTATCTGGATGGTACTAAACATTTATTTGACTTGATCTAGAAATAGTGACCAAAGGAAGCAGAAGTTTTCTTAGTTTCCAACTTTGTTGTTTGGCAAATGTCTGAAAAGAAGCAGCCAGTTGAAAAAATTATTTAAAAAGTGAAATGGAGATGAAACATTCTCCATGTATACATACAAAGTTCAAAGAAAAAAAATAGAAAAATATTTTTTTTTCAAATTATCATTGCAATATATCTTATCCTTCACCACAGGGAAAAAATGCGAGGGTGAGTAACGACGAGTGCGTGATGACACAGAAATCTGCCAGAGTAGCTAAACACACACCGTCCAACATCTATCCTCTCTCTGTAATCTTTTCTATCTCTATTGCCACCGCCAGCTATGTTATAGTCATGGTTTTTTTTTTTTTTTTTTATCTAAGACAAAGTTTTTTCTAAACATTTTAACTCAACAGATTATCTGTAAAACTAGTTAACTAGACTTTTCATTCCCAAAGTTACATTGGATTAGTCTGTTTTCATTTTAATGGATTATTCAATGTACCATTACAGGGATGAAATTTTAAAACAATCAAGTGGTTAACACACTTTTCATCTCTGCATTACTATGGACTTGTCCATTTTCATGTGACTGGATCAACCATTATGTAAATCATAGGGTAGGAATTTATATCAACACAAATTTCTACCCCATTATATACAATGGAATGATCCATTCTTGTATTAAATTATTTCATAGTATTGTCCATTGTGGAAATTTTAGCGATGGAAGGTTGATTTGTTAACCACTGACTTTTATATTATTTTACTACAAGCACCACTTATCATTAATGTTTTCATTTTGCTGAGACTTAATTCAATAATTAACACCACGTCCTGTTGGACTTCCTTTCCTAATGTGTGAAAATAACCCCAGTCGAAACCGGGATGACCTCAGAACATCTGCTGAATAAAACATGTATTGGGAATATATGGAAAACATTGTACTACATAGATTATATAATCATATATGAGATGAAGGACATTGTTTATCTTCATGTATGAGATGTTGGAGCAGGGGCTTGAAGAAACCAAGGTTGCGACAGGGACTAATCTTCCTAACCTAAAAGCATGCTTGCCAATTTTCTTAGGGATATGCTATTTTTCGCTGTTTGCATTGAAGAGTGACTTTTGCAAAAACCTAGCATTTTAAAACTGGTTCGAGTCCTTTATTTTTGCTGTCAAGACATTGTTATGCTTGTTTTGATAGCTATGCATAAAGAGTTGAGATAAAAATTTTGGCTATGAAAAGTGTAGAAGGCCATTTTATGGTTGCCCTGAAGGTTATTTTTAGCAACAAAAACAGCTTTTTGAGCTCTATGCTTCATACTGTTGACATTCTTTGCTATTTTATCACTAGAATATGTTCTCCTGGTTTGCACTTTTTACTCGTGATTTCTGTTTATGCTTCTCGTGATTCCTTCGTGGGCTGGACAAGAATTTTCTCATCATGTAAAGGAAAACTTGGTAGTTTTAAACAAATATATAAATGTACAGTATTGAGAGACTTGCATCATGTATTTGATTTAATGATATAGAGAAATATTCTCTGGGTAGAAATTTTAACTGTAAAATGTATTTCCTTGTTATATAGGGTTTACTATTTTCAGCAGTTAAAGATACTTCAGAAAATCTGTCATGAAGGATAGGTTTAATATCATGATTTAAGTGAACAATTAAATTTTTCTCAATTAACATTTCTTTAAAGATAAATTTAATGAATAAAAGCATTTTTAGGCTTTTACTCTTTTTGAATTTCAAGGAATTCAAACAAAGGTTTAATGTAGGGGAGGGGATTGGGGTTGGCTGGAAGTTTTGTTATTGATAGAAGGCAGGATTGTTCTGAGGTTATCCCCCCTTACCCTGTGGTCAGTGTTTGTGTGATACATGTCTTCAGTGGCTATCAGACATTTAATAAAACAGTAAACCTGTTATCTCTATCTATCTTACAGTGCATTGCATGTGTGTTATTAGACCATGTGGAATCTCATCACCGCTTTATCCTGTTACTTAGAAACTTCCACCAGTTACAAAATTTAAGGGAGTGTTATGAACTTTTTATATGTCCGTCAGAAATTTTGATGGGACATATGGTATGGCATTGCGTTGCTGTCTGTCTTAAATTTTTTTTCTGGAGATCTCCCAAAGTTTGCAATCAATCTTTTTCAAACTTGGAAGGCTACATCATGACATGAAATTTTTTTTCCTGAATGGGAGTTTAATTGAACTAAGTGTATTTGAGAGAGCTACTACAATTTGTTTCAATAATGTTGATCTTGTCCAGAGATCTCCTCTCTCAGCTTTCCAACAATTTCTTTCAAACTTTGTAGGTTTTATCATCATAACATTAAGTTGTGTATTTCTCTACACAGCTGTTTGATTCAACAATTTTTAGGTCACTTGATACAAAGTCTCATGGTGACCAATTCTAATACTTTTCATCCAGCATTGTGTGTCGTGCGTCCGTAAACAATTTGACACTTTCGATTTCTTCTGAAAAACCCCTGATCCAATTTCAATTAAATTTTTCAGAAAGCTTCTGGCATAAGATGAATCAAAATTGTGAATTATACAGTCCCCACCCTCTAGGGGCCTGAGAGGTGGGGCCAAAAGCCCAAAAATCTTCGTCCCAAAACCCAGATATTGTATCAAATATTCTTCATGAATGGAAACATCTTAGGTGCTTTACCAAAATTGTGAATTTCATGGTCCCAGGGTCTCAAATTTCCCTGTGGGAAGGGGGTAAAGTTTACTATCGTGTATATAGGAAAACTAGATTTTTGAGCGTAATTTTTGTTATTTCCATCAGAAATATTTCAGACTTGGTTGGAATTATGAGTGAAGGGTGACCGCATGATGGTATGCCCATTTTGATCCTGACTGACACCCAGGGGCTGATGAGCAGGGCCAAAAGGGGTCAAATTGACTTAAATTTCAAAAATCTTTTTAAGACCCAGATATGGTATAATCAAATGCTCTTCATGAAAGGAAACATCTTAAGGTGCTTTAATTACCAAAATGAGTATCGTCATAACATTGGTTATTTCCCACTGGAAATAAATTTATAATAATAATCAGTATAGGATGACAGTTTTGATGTAATGCATGTATTGACACTGTCTATATTCAGTGTCACAATTTCTGTTTCACGACACGATAACAATCCTTTAACCTTTATATACAATATTGCTTATCTCAGGTGACCGTCAAGGATTCTAGGCCTCTTGTTTAAGGAGTTATTGCCCTTAGAGTTTTTAGCAGTTAAATTTTGTAACGAGATTTTCTTCCTCAATTTTTCTGCAATTTCTCAGAAACTTTATAGGCTTTAAAACCACATTATGATATTGTGTTTTAATGGACATCATTTCATTTCAACTATATTTCAAAAAGTTATTGTCCATTGTTCTTTTCAGCATCTTGTCTTGAGATTTCTTTTAGTTTTCCACACATCCTCTAAAACTTGTTGTAAGTCATCATAAAACATGGGTTGGGTATTTATTGTTCTGCCCCATTGTAATCCTGTTCTGAAAGTTTCAGACTGACTTTCAGAGATTACAATATCTTTCCTTTTGAACTCATATGTATAGAATTTAATGAACTGCTTTCCTATTGTAGCCGACTGATTTTGGCAGTCAACAATATTTCTTCAATGTAAGACATAGCTACAGTTTATTGGCAGTGCTGAGTTCTGCTTGGCCAGATTGATGTAGATTAAAGCCAGAGATATTAAGGTCTATATATAACAATGAGATGAATTACAACATCTTAATAAGATACTGGGATTTGGATAGAGTCAGACCTCATGTGTTTTAGTTACAATGTTAATGACCAGGTTACCATTTTACTTTGTTTTCCTGTTTTGTTCTCCAGACCTCACATTTCTATGATGTGAAATTTAATTTGAATTTATGTAATTTGATTATTTTTTCTATGCAAGATATGTAAATCTATATATGTAGTATTACCCCAACCTTCCTCCCAGCTCCAAATCTCCTTTATCCAACATTCTATTGAATTTGATGAATCCTCCCTTGACAATTTTTTAACTTTATGGCTTTATGTAGAGTAGGTGTTGTTCACATACAAATTTTTTATACATTTTTGATTTTTTTTAGTGGAAAAAGTAAATGAATGCGGCTTGTAGTTGCTGTTATTTGGATCTGTGGTTTATTTTTCACAGATCAATGACAGTTTAGCAAGCTAATGCACTGGCAGATAGAATGAGCAGAGAACAGCTTTTACTTCTAAAACTAGAACAAATATCAGTTTTCTGTATATGCTTTTGTCACGAGCAAGAAAAGTAACAGGGATACATGTATTTATTGTATTATCTAGTTAGATCCTGATTGAATTTTTTGGCTGTGAGTTATAAACTTGTTTATGTTTATTACAGTGGATATTCGTGTTTAAATTCAATAAAACAGGTATTCACAGGGTAGCTATTGTACCTGGCACAAATGACCAGCTTATGCTGTGGTGTGCTCTTAGCCAAAGTTCTCTCATAGGGACAGACGTTCTCTAGGAGTATAGGGGCCAGTCAGATAACATGTTATTTTATTGTAAGTGGGAGAAATTTGACCGAACTTACCATCATGTGACCTTATGTGGAGTTCACTGTAACATGTGTCCTTTATAAATAGAGAATTTACAGTAACATGTGACCTTCATAGAGAAGTAACAGTTACATGTGACCTTTATAGAGAATTCACAGTAACATGTGACCTTTGTATAGAGTTTACAGTAACATGTGACCTTTATAAATAGAGAATTCACAGTAACATGTACATGTGACCTTTGTATAGAGTTCACAGTAACATGTGACCTTTATAAATAGAGAATTCACAGTAACATGTAACCTTTATAGAAAATTCCCAGTAACATGTGACCTTTATAGAGAATTCACAGTACCATGTGACCTTTATAGAGAGTTTACAGTAACGTGACCTTTATGAAGAGTTCACCATATAAGTGATCTTTACATAAAGTTTGCAGTAGCATGTAACCTTTTACAGAGTTGACAAGAACATGTGATCTTTATGTAGAGTTCACCAGAAGACGTGACCTTTATAGAGACCTTTATAGAGAATTCACATTAACATGTGACTTATTATTTAGAGGTCACAAGAGCATGTGACTTCTGTATAAAAGTACTTACTTTCAAATATGACCAATTATTAGTATAACAATTTATTGACATATTTAATTCATAAAAATGTTATTTACTGGTA